ATACAAGAAAGCAACACCTTGAAACTATCGCTAAAGTAATATTATTAAGTCTGACATGTACTCTGTGTTACCTGAAGATATGAATATAAAAAAAAAACAATTTTTAAGGGCTAGTGAAGGTTCTTAGTCATCCAGGTCATAGTTATTCCCAAAAAAAATTAAAAACAATCCACTGGACTTGGTTTCCAAATTTGAAGACGTTTCTCCTCCCTTCCAGGGGGCTTTTTCAATTCAAAATGTCAGGAAAAGCGTTGAGTTTTGAACTGCCCGCCTGAGAGGTCTCCTCCTCGGATTGTCTGCAGGGGAAGCCCCCCTTGACATCCAGGGTTAGGGTTAGATAGGCACATTTCCTCCAGGGTCGGAGGTTATTTACCCACAAAGCACACCCCCTTAGCCTGCCTGCAAAAGCCCTAGGGTTAGGGTTTGATAGGCACATTTCCTCCAGCGTTTGAGGTTATTTACCCACAGAGCACACCCTCTGAGCCCGCCTGCAAAAGCCTTAGGGTTAGGGTTAGATAGGCACATTTCCTCCAGCGTTTGAGGTTATTTACCCACAAAGAACACCCCCTGAGCCCGCCTGCAAAAGCCCTAGGGTTAGGGTTAGATAGGCACATTTCCTCCAGCGTTTGAGGTTATTTACCCACAGAGCACACCCTCTGAGCCCGCCTGCAAAAGCCTTAGGGTTAGGGTTAGATGTGTGTCTTGTGTCTTATGTGTGTGTCTTGTACGTATGTAATGATGTGATGTAATTTTGATGCCTATCTTGGCCAGGTCTCCCTTGCAAAAGAGATTTTTAATCTCAATGGGTATTACCTGGTTAAATAAAGGATAAATAATAAAAAAAAAAAGGTTATTTATTTGAGGTTATTTACCCACAAAGCACACACCCTGAGCCCGCCTGCAAAAGCCCTAGGGTTAGGGTTAGAGTTAGATAGGCACATTTCCTCCAGTGTTTGAGGTGATTTACCCACAAAGAACACCCCCTGAGCCCGCCTGCAAAAGCCCTACCCCCCCCATCCCTTCCTGGAGCTTGTTCTAAGGGGTCTCTCTCATCAAGCCTCTTCCCGGCCGAGAGGCCTCCTCCTCGGATAGGCTGGTCACAACCTCCCCTTGACCTCCAGGAATCTGGTTCTTTGATAAAAAAAAAAATAATAAACATCTTCCATCCAGTGTTGGAGGTTGTTTACCCACAAAGCACACCCCCTGAGCCCGCCTGCAAAAGCCCTACCTCCCTATCCCTTCCTGGAGCCGGTTCCAGGGGGTCTCTCCCATGCACCTCCTTTCTGCCCAAGGGGCCTCCTCCCTGGATAGGTAGACCACCAACACACCTCCCTGGGGAACAGCCAGCACCAGGCGGGCCCGGGGACCCACCCTTAAGCACCC